TTTAAAAAGTTAATTGAAAAATAAAGAATATAATGGACTGTACCTGTACACTTCTCTCTCAGTAGGAATTATACTTTTCTGTTGAAGGACTTAACCCTCAAATCACAGAAGGAGTGACACAACTCTCCCTGATAAGTGGAATGAGGTGGGCAGGTTAAACAGCTGAGGGAAGTTGCACTCTAGATCTTGTAGGCATATATATTGTATTTAGAAAGTGAACCAATTTTAACAGTAAGCATTGTTCATTGGATGCAGGATACAGGAGAGGCAAAGGCATATTTTGAGGTAGCTTCAAGCCCCCACTTACCATTATCACTGGTTCACGGATTTTTCTTGAATATACTTTTATGTGGAATTACTTAATCCACAAATCACAAATTTGTTTTATACTGTATATCACCAGTGTGGTCAACACATTACATCATATTGAATAATTCTTATCTTTATACTTGTCACTATACTCAGTGTTAAAGAAATGACCAAATTGAGTGAGACCACTAATTTTCTTTGTAAAGATACGTAGTAGCTCTCAACAGCAACTAGCTGGATTAACAGCTGTATTGATGGTATTTAACTTTGTGTGACTTATGTTATTAGGGACTCTGTAACCAAGAAATTCATGTACCCACAAGCAACTTAGTAGATACATAGTATAAAAAAATGTCTCTAAGAATAGCTAGTGGTAATAAGCCAGAGTCACTGGTATTTTCCTATTTCTGAGCTACAGAATGTACTGAAAGAGTGTATTACATAAACACTTGTTTCAGTTTAGAAATGAAATACATAGTTTAATTATCTTTTTGTATGCTCTAAAATATTATATTAGTATAAGAGAAAAAAGAAAAAAATGTCTTTTTTAAGTAAAAATAAAGACAAGTTTCTAATCCAATAGTATAAAATAAAAAGGAATTTGATTTTTCACATTCCCATTATAAAAAAACAATGCATAATATATTATAATTTATTAAATGCTGTTTTATGTGTCTGACATGGTACCAGAGTCTTGAGAAACTTAAAAGATGATTGGAATTAAAACTTTTATAATAAAATGGAGATAACTACTAAGGCTAAAATATGCTATTTATTATTTCCTTCAATTCTGACAAATAGTACTAAAAGTAAAAAAAAAAAAGACTTTTTTTTATTCTATATCTACTTGCAGGGGCTGGGGAATTGCCTCTGTTTGAATACTCCTTGCAGGAGTTATTTTCCACACTAGGTGTGGTCAATGTAGTTCAACTCTTCTCATGTGTCTTGTTAGAAAACCAAGTTCTGTTGTGTTCTAAAGGTAAGACCATACTAGTAATCTGTATTGTGTTAAATGTCAAACGTATTAAGGAGTTTCTTTAACATGACATTCCACAAGTTTTCTGTACATTGAGCTTTATTTCTTATTTCTCTGCCATGTTCAAACCATATATCATAGAGTTTCTATTAATTAAGACAAGAAATGTACATTTAAGTTCATTGAGAAGGATTTTGCAGTATTTGAATGATTTTTTCCTAATTTGTTAAACATATCTGTACACATTGTAACTGAATACTGCTATCAGAATAAGTTACTGGCCAATCTGAACTGTATAATTTGGTGAATGTACATTAAACCAAGGTATTCTTCTTTATGCTGTCAAATGGTCAGTGTATTGACACTTGCTGCAGGCTTGGTTGATTCAACCTAAATCTTTACCCAAGTTTACCTTTAGAGTTTCAGAATTTTTAATGAAGTATTTATATTTTTTCTGTTATTTTCTCAACCCTAACTTTAAACAGGATTGGTCAATTTGACCGACCTCATAACCACCATAAACAGTATGAAAATAAATTTAAATTACCCCTTTTTCTTTCTGAAATGAAACTACATTTGTTTATTCTAAGTAGCTTAAAACTCATAACAGTATATATTCATTTCTACTTAGATTTATTGTTTTATTGCCATTTGAACCCTGTCTGACTAATACTCCCACCATACAAGTTGTAAATCATTCAGCAACAGTGTGGCTCATGTTACCCTATTGAATTATATAACTACTATCCTAATTAATTGTTTATTTAATTAAATAATACACCTAAGAATACAGAATAATAACGTGTAAAAAACATATAGTACCCTGTAACTATTATAATTTTTTTGTTTTTCTAACTATGTAATAAGAGCCATTAAAATTTCATCTGAGCTTGTCGATGTGTTTCCTGTGGGAATATAGTTTGAACTGGAAGCAAAATAGATAATTCTCTGTACAGAAAACAATGTAATATAACATGTTATTTGATGGATTAAAAGTTTGGCTTTCTGTTGGTTATAAATAATATAACTATTAGCAATTTGTGAAAGAGATGATGTGACAAGTGGGCGTGGCAAGATGGAACTGATTTTTTATTTTATGGTTCTGTATCCATAAAAGATTGAAGGCTATAAAAAATTATGCTTTAGTTGAATAATAACAATATTATGATGAGTAATTTAGATTGAATTCTGTACTTCTTGGAGTGGTGGTAAATAAATTAGATAAGAGGTGGATACCTGGAGAGCAAATGACACAATTCTCATACTAGAGTAAGATTGAGGATTTTTTTAAATATCTCCTTATAAAATTAAGAACTTAAAATTTGTATAATATTAAAAGTTGGTTTATTAACCAAGTTTGTTAATATACCATGATGATAAAATAGTTTAATTATATTTTGAATATAATTATAAAAAGTCGTGACATGTGCACTTTGACTTGCCCATACTGAGAGGGTTCAATGGGTTTTGTTAAAATGTATGATAAAGTAATTGTTTTAACTAGTTATCTTTCAATCTTTCAGAATATCACAAGTTGATGTTAGTAGCAGAGGGTATCACAACTCTTTTGTTCCCTTTCTCATGGCAACATGTGTATGTGCCTATCCTCCCTGCCTCTCTTCAACATTTTCTGGATGCTCCAGTTCCTTATATCATGGGATTACAGCATAGCACAGAAGACAGGTCACAATTGTGTATACCTGGAGAGGTCAGTTGGGATTTTGCTAATTTTCTTTTGTGTAGTTTTTCTGTAGAGAAGAAAGCATTTTTGTGATAGATTGGCTGAAATATTTTTGTTTTTCGAAGTGTAAGTTATTTATTGTAGCCACTAAAGACTAGGTTAGCACTAAACTAAATTGATTATAAGCTAGTAGAGTACAGACTTTAGTACTTTGTTGTTTAATGTCATTAACTTACATTCACAAAAATGAGGCTTTAATTTAGATATAAGTTTCAGTTAAATAGCATTGTATAAATTTTTGTGTACAGCCAGTTACATTTAGAACATTTCAACCCTAAGTCTCACATTAGAAACTAACATTTTATAGCTCAGTAGGCTAGAGATATTGTGTCCCTTTAGAGAAAATAAATTGGTACATTAATCCCAGTTGTGGTAATTTAGTACAAGCACAATGTGTTCACTAGACTATGGCTTTAAGGCCTATTCAAAATACAGCACTTTGGCTAAGGAATTTTCAGACATGTATTGCTGTAGTCATGCTTTAAGCAAACCAATTTTGTGATGTTTTATTGCTTTGTCTCTTCATTGAAATATCGGCTTAAATACCAATGTGCATGTCTTGTAACAATGCATAACACTGTGTGCCATGGAATAAATACTGTTTTCGTATGTCTTATGGCAGTTATTAAGAGTGTATGTACCATGGAATAAGTACCATATGTGTATGTTTTGTAACAATAGGTAAAAATTCATGTGTGCCATGGAATCTGTTATAATACTCACTTTTTGTTTGTCCTGAAAATGTATGCATACCCATTTTGTTAAAAATTGAATTATTATAACCTAATCTTTAGCCCAAATTAAATACTTAAAAAATATTTGTGCATAATATCACAGGTAAAATTACTACAGTTGATACTGTTATTGTATTAAGTTTATGAAAAAGTAACATCCAGTGATTCCAGCTACCATACCTATGTTTGTTAATGTCATAATTAAAAATTTCTTTTTATTTTTAATGCAAGTTCTTTGGAAATATTTTGTGACCATATGTTTTAGTTAGAAAGTTTATCCAATGTGATGTCTATTAGGCGAGAAGGAAGTGGTTTAAGCTTCTGTTACATAAAGAATAATACATTGTTTTATTGTGGATTATTATTTTAATTGTTGTAATTTAACTTGTATGTTTGTTTTCAGGCAAACTTGTGTTTTGTTGATATTGATAGCCTAACCATGGATGTACCTGAAGATACTCCTAAATTACCATACACAACCAACTTAATAGCAGAAATATGTGATATATTTGACACATTTGGTATTCCTCAGCCTCCAGAGGGAATAGATAGGAATTTGAATCAAAGAGGTTCTCACAGACAACAACATACTCGAAAACTTTCATGGAGTTTTGAAAGTGGAGACTCGGGAATGAGCAGTTCGGGCAGCAGTGCTCGTAGCTCTTATAGTAGTTTAGCCATCACTCATAGCCACATCTTTCAGCAAAGTGAAGCTTTACAAAGGGTAACAGCAATAGCTAGAAGAACAGGTAAACCTCTACTTGCTGAGAAAGTATTTATGTTTAAACTTACAATAACTGCCAGTTCCAGTAAATGATAAACACTTAAAACTTTACATCTTAATAAATTTTTTACAATTTCAAACTAGGTAACAACTTCAGTATTTGTAGCATAAGTTAGGTATTGCTCAAAAGATCTATTTTTTGAAATAATTGAATTTTTTCTCATGCTGATGTTTGTTTTTTCTTAATGATGTCAAAAAACATGTAGGTTCAAGAAGTCTACATAAAAGAGAAAAAAAGCCTGTAACATGAGTGCTTTCGAAAGGTATACCTTTTAAAAGCACTCTGGTTATAGGGTTTTATCATTTTATATTTTTCTTAGTGCATGGTTAACAGTTGAAATATTAGGACCAATGCAATATTACTCATATGTCTTATATTACTTTTACTGTTATTATAGTTTTTTCTCTTGGTTATGCCAGATTTTTAGTGTTTTTTTTTGTTGTTGTTGTCCACTTACATTCCTATATAGAATCATATGTTTTGTATCAAGGACTACATTTCAAAAATTATTATTTTTTTGTCTGTGGAACAAAATGCTAGAAAAATCTACTTGCCCATCTTAAAAACCTATCCTGTCCCATAAGACACATACAGAAAAGTAGAATATAACTTATAGGATTCTCTTTTATTTAGGAGTGAATATAATCAATACAGTGCCACTGGCTGCATAAATATATATTCATCTATGTATCTTATGGTTTCTAACATTAATGCTGCCCCAAACTAAATGGTGTTATACATACATACACACAACTTGTAACAACAATATGGTGATATTGTTACATTAATTAAAATGTTTGTTACTGTGTCAGTGATTGTGGGTTTGTGAATTAAAGGGATATATATGTATGTATTTGTGTATATAGTTTTACTTTGAGGTTTAGAGATACACATTTTAAAATATTTGTGTGTATGTGCTAGACTATCTCAGTTTCAGTAGTTTTGGAAACTTGTGTGGCTCACTAGAAATCTTTCCAGTGTTTTTTAGCTGTAGCATAGTGGCTCATAGAATGGCTCTGAGTTTTTCAAGTACAAACTATTAGCTCATAGCTTCATCATCTTTTGACTGACTTGAGATCTAATTACAGTTTTGGACTCAGGAGGTCACACCCTTTTGATTGATGCATTTGACCATGTCCAAGGTCTCATAGATCAATTTACTCTAATCCTGCCTAAAATAATTTCAATTTGAGGGTAGGCTGGTAGAGATCTTGATGAGTAATAAAATCAAATCGGGTATACATGCAGCCTATGCTTGGTATTGCTGATGCACAAAAATATAGCTGATAAAAAGGAAAAAAAGTCTTGTAGATTAATTTACTCTAATCCTGCTAAAAGAATTTCAAATGCTGTGATTATTGAGGATTCCCTCTTGTCTTGCACTAGAAGGAACAATGTGAAAAAAACCCTAAAAAAACTACTTATGGAATGGACAAATTATAATGGTAAAAGCTTGTTATCCTAGGCATCAGATGATAAGAATTTCAAACCTCTATATATATATTATTGTAAATAATAAAAAAGGCCTGTTATCACTTAAGAATGACATACTTATATCAGTTGATCTCATTCCATTTACCTTCCATGTATATAGGGCAGTTATGTTGCTTAACTCCTTGCTTATCAACTTTATAAATGGCTTTATGGTTTGATATACACGTTCTTGATATCAGATAGTGAGTATTATCTCTATCCTAATAACATATTTAGGATGTACTTACACTCTGAACCCCCTCCCCCATGCAGGTAACGAGTATTGTCCCATGACAAGCCACGTGATTCATAGTTTAATGTTCTCAGTGTTAAAGTGATGAGTATTCAGCGGTTCTAGTGTATGTAGCACAGTTTAAATTAAAATACACAATTAAAAATTGGTAAACTTGTATGTACTTAAGTTATTTTGCATTCAATATTCCTTGTTTATTATTTGTTGCATGAAGTACAAAGAAAGGCACCTTTTTTATGGTGTTGTGCTATAACTTGGGGTGATTTATAAACTTTTTTGGTTAAATTAAACTGAAATAGTATTATATTGTACATACTCATCAAAACAATTATGATAATAAAAATATGATTTACAGAAATAACTTTTTTATTGAATCTGAGAAACCAAATAGGTTTTGTAGAAGTATAATGAACAATACCACATTTACTATGAGTTTTATTTAAATGACAAGTAACAACATTTTCTATACTAGACATATCTTACCAATGTAAAAGATTTAGAGTATAGAACATTTTTTTTACATATATTCACGAAATGTACATTGCTACTGTCATTTATTTCTCTGTTAGTTGTAATATATTCAAACTAGGTGGCCATTCGTATGAGTTTTATTTAAATGACAAGTAACAACATTTTCTGTACTAGACATATCTTACCAATGTAAAAGATTTAGAGTATAGAACATTTTTTTTACATATATTCATGAAATGTACATTGCTACTGTCATTTATTTCTCTGTTAGTTGTAATATATTCAAACTAGGTGGCCATTCGTAGTCACCCTAATAATGTATGTTTATATGAGTAAATTCTGTTAATTAGAAGTAATAGCTTTTATTTTTAATATTTTATATGTTATAAAAATATCATATGAGTATGTGCTGTCTTTTTCTTTTATATTCTGTAATAAAAATGTTATTAAATTTTCCCACTTCATATGAAAACACTTTATAAAATGATATAACTCAATTTAACTATCTTTAGTATGATTTAATGTTCTATAACATTGTTTCTCAAATTTTTTTGTTCACAGACCACCTCAATTATATTTTTATGTCGATGTATCATAATGAGATCTATTCACTGTTGCCACTTCCTTTCCATAATTATGCAGCTCTTTGATGGACCACCTGAAGGAGCCCTTGGTCCACAGTTTGAGAACTGTTGTAATGTACAAAACTCAAGAATAACAGAACGAATTTGTTGATGACAATTATAATATGAAATAAGCAGAATGCATCATCATTCTTTATAAATTATAGGTTCAGTAATAACTTTGTAGGGTATATTTTCTTCATTTCACCATTAATTTGATATGTTTTATAAGTATCTTTTATCACTTACGGTTTGTTCAAGTAGATTTTATTTGGTTATAGTTATTTTTGTGTAATTTCAGTATTATAGTTGGTCTTGCTAAGAGTTTGGAATACCTGAATATTTTTGTGTTTTGGGCTACAACACTCTAATTTTCTCACTTCCTTTGAAACCAAGATATTTTGCTTAGAAATTTGTGGTTTTCTTGATCTTTTGGAGCTTTCTCAGACTACTGTTGTTAGGTGTAAACATTGTGAACCATATATTTTATCATAAAAGGACACATATTCATCTTTATGCATTTCTGTTTGGCCATTTACTAGCTCTGGCTAACTACTGTTTTTGTCTGTTATTACTTCAGTTCATGTTTTTTTACGTGAGAATTAGCCTTTTTTTCTTTTTTATATATATCCTTGTAGGAATTAGCCCTTTTCAGTCATAATTTAATTTTTTTGTACATACTTATAGGAATTAGCTCTTTTTATTCGTAATTTAATTTTTTTGTGTATACTTGTAGGAATTAGCTCTTTTTAGTCATAATTTAAATCCTTTTCTTTTGTATATACTTGTAGGAATTAGCTCTTTTTAGTCATAATTTAATTTTTTTTGTATATACTTGTAGGAATTAGCTCTTTTTAGTCATAATTTAATTTTTAATATACTTGTAGGAATTAGCTCTTTTTAGTCATAATTTAATTTTTTAATATACTTGTAGGAATTAGCTCTTTTTAGTCGTAATTTAATTTTTTAATATA